CACCTTCTCACCAAGCTGCTTGGCAATGGTCTTGTAGCCCATTCCAGCCTTGTGTAGGTCTACAATCTTGTCCCTGACATCCTTGGAGAGCTCTTTGGTCTTGGCCATGGTGGAGAGTTTGGAATCTGATTGATTGATTGCTTCTGTGGACAGGTGTCTTTTATACAGGTAACAAGCTGAGATTAGGAACACTCCCTTTAAGAGTCTGCTCCTAATCTCAGCTCGTTGCCTGTATAAAAGACACCTGAGAGCCAGAAATCTTTCTGATTGAGAGGGGGTCAAATACTTATTTCCCTCATTAAAATGTAAATCAATTTATAACATTCTTTACATGCGTTTTTCTGGAATTTGTTGTTGTTATTGTCTCTCACTGTTCAAATAAACCTACCATTAAAATTATAGCCTGATCATTTCTTTGTCAATGGGCAAACGTACAAAATCAGCAGGGGATCAAATACTTTTTTTCCCTCACTGTATGTATACATCGACATACACAGCGTACATACGCTGGCACAGTAGATTCTATTTGAGGGCACCGCGGTTGTGATATGTTAACTACCTCGTCCGGTATAGAGGAGGTCGTGGGTTCGATCTCGTCCCTGACGCCTGCTGTATATTTGGAGTTTGCGTGTTCTCCCCGTGGTTGCGTGGATTTTTCTCCGGGTCCTCCGGTCTTTCCCTCCACATTCAGAAACACGCCTTTAGAGTATTGGGCTGCTAATACATTTCCATACGATAATCCACTTGGTTGAGCTATCATTTGTATGTAGCTCAGTAGGACTCATCTAGTAAAATAAAATAAAAAATGATAGTTAAAGTTTATTTACAAGTGACATAGCCCGCAGTGTCTTCTCTTTCCAAGCCAGTCGAGGCAGCCAGCCAGCCAGCAAAACTTAAACAATAAATACATGTATGCTTTCAATTTGTAACGCGCGAGGATCCACAACATACAACCACGAAAGCAGAAACAATTGTCAAGCTCTGCGGTCCTCTACATATTAAGGTGTTATCGGCCAATTAGTGAGTGTTTACATGCAATAATAAGAAATATAAACGCTGATAACAAAAGAAGACCTGTACTGTTGTGATGCTAATCATTTATATATATATATGTACGTGTACAAAATAAATTAAACGTTTGGATAATTATTTTGTGAGTGGTCGAACACGTCACTCTCCAACCTTCAATACGCACTGGTGAAGTATGTAAAAACAATCTCCATACGGTAAAGATACCTTCATCCAGCAGTGGATCGATAAACGGTTTTGATTTTTTTTACTATATTTATGCTGTGACCGCCCTATGCATACAGTCCATTTAGCGCACTCTCCAGCCTACGTGCTGTGAAGAAGGGCCATTGCCCTAAACGTCGACTATTATAAACTCTTTCCTTTGAAGGCCGCAATGTTAATGACGGACGTGTTGAGTTTTGTTTCGTGTCCTATGAGTGTTGTTTCGTGTCCTATGCATGCTTCTCGCAATATGAATATGGGAATGCCCACGATCGGATAAAGATCTAAAATCAGATTGATGTCAAAATGGGACCCTTTTTTTGCCAGTAGCAAAGTATGAAATAATAATAGGTTTTACCATTTATGGCAATACAATTGCAAGGTTTTATTGCCAGAAACGGTGAAATATATTTCCATTTTTTCATAAGATTGATGTTATTCGGGTAGACACCATCGTTCCTCCGCCTCTACCCAAAATACCTCCCCCACTACCCCCTCTCCACTCCCCACGCACTCCCCCCCACCCCCTCTCTATCCCAAAAGCTTCAATTATAATCGCACAGAAGACAACAACATGCAAATACTCGGCACGCAATCGTCTTTCACCACCAAGTAAACGCCGCCTGATTCTCGCATCCTCACAGCACGCCCCGCTCGCACCCCGTTAGGTAAACATCTTGCAGCTCGTTTAACGAGTCAATTCGGCAGCTAATTGATGGTGCATCTGCTAAGGCAGGCCGCTCGTGGCAGTGATGATGTGTGAGAGAGGGAGGAGACATAGGAGGTGGATGGGGAGGTGTAGAGTTTAGGAGGTAAAGCAGCGAATTAAACAGTTAAAATTATTTTTTTAAAAACTATTAAACTATATTTTATTTTACCAGGTAAGGCTCACAGAGATACTAGCTTTTGTCAGAAGCGACCTGGCCACAAACGATGGCTCAACAAAGTGGCTTACTCTGCGGAAATGTATAGCAGCCAAATAGTCTAAAAGCGCGATGTTGATTCTAAATGTGGATGGAAAAGTAATATTAAAAAAAGTTTTTTAAAACACGCTTTCATGAAATGTACTGGTAATGGAAGAACTCAACGACTCCAGCAAGTGTCCCCGAAGCTTGCCATAACGTAAGGGACCGTGGTCAGTTTACCGTGGACAATTAGACCCAAGCCGAAACATAACATATAAAAAAATAGTGTTTCAAAATTAATATTTTTTTATTTTTAATGATATAATATAGTATTGTCATCAGTATGACATAAGTATACCAAGTTTGCAGTCGATACCACATTGGGAAGTGGGTTAAAATTGAGTTACAAGATTTGAGGATATAACAACGACAACAACAACAGAGTGAGTTAAATAAAAGCATGTAATAAAAACCGGAGGACCCGGTGAAAAAGTCCACGCGACCACGGGGACAACACGCAAACTCCAACTATACAGCAGGCAGAAGGGAAACAATAAAATAATAAAAATATTAAACAATAAAATTCTCACGACGTTTCGACTACAACACAAGCAATCATCATCAGATGATAAAATGTTATTGTTTTATATTTTTATTATTTTATTGTTTCCCTTCTACGTGACTTTACCGAAAGAACCAAGAATATGAATCCCTGCAGTCACGAAAGCTTTAAATCAAAATTTATACAGCAGGCATCAGGGTCCGGATCAAACCCACGACCTCCTGTATACCAGGCGAGGAAGCTAACATCCCGCCTCTACGGCATCCCCAATTGGAGGATTTGAAGCGATGAGCAGCCGGGCAGGCGACGGGGCTGGGATGACGAGATGTTGTTGATGAGGTGTTGTTGATGAGGTTGTTGATGAGGTGGTGTTGATTATGTTGATGAGATGTTGTTGATGAGGTGTTGATAAGGTTGTTGTTGATGAGGTGTTCTTGATTAGATGTTGTTGATGAGGTGTTGTTGATTAGGTGTTTGTTGTTGATGAGATGTTGCTGATGAGGTTGTTGATGAGATGGTGTTGATGAGGTTGTTGTTGATGAGGTTGTTGTTGATGAGGTCTTGTTGATGAGGTGTTGTTGAAGAGATGTTGTTGATGAGGTGATGTTGCTGAGGTGTTGTTGATGAGATGTTGTTGATGAGGTGTTGTTGATGAGATGTTGTTGATGAGGTGTTGTTGATGAGGTGTTGTTGATGAGGTGTTGTTGATGAGGTTGTTGTTGATGAGGTGTTGCTGATGAGGTGTTGTTGATGATGTTGTTGATGAGGTGTTGTTGATGAGGTGTTGTTGATGAGGTGATGTTGATGAGGTGCTGTTGATGAGGTGTTGTTGATGAGGTGTTGTTGATTAGATGTTGTTGATGAGGTGTTGTTGATGAAGTGTTGTTGATGAGGTGTTGTCGCTGTGGAGAGCTGCGACCAAGAGGAGCCAGTGGCGAGTCTCACCCCCTCGTCTTCAGCGTGGCGAGTTTCTCCTACCAGTCACTCCGGGAATTCCTCTCACGCCAAGTCAAACCACTCCTCATTCATGGACTTGGTAATAAAAGTACGTTGTAGCAAGACCTCCTGGAATTCATTGAGGCTTTACCTGGATACATGATTAACGTAGTTAGACAATAAGGTTATTTTCCAAGATCAACATATCATCACGGCAAGGCCAATATATCATATACTGGAGGAATCTGATGATCTGTAAAGCTCTTGGTCACAGATGCCCAGTGAGGGCACGGGGATCATGGGCAGACGCCGTCAACGCGTTCCACATTCTCCAAAACTCGCAGCTGCTGCTCATGGTTTTCCGGGCCAGGGAAACATTTGGTACCACACCAGACAGCAAAAGCTATCGTCGTAACCGATGCATTTACGTGGCTAACGAGAGTGAATTGCTGAACTTGAAAACCCACGCATTGCAAAGCGTTATCACACGATTCACTGCAATGAGCCACATGGTGGAAGGATATGGGCAGAAGAGGGAGTCAGGGGAATTTGGAGTGCAAGGCCCCATGGTGTCCTTACCCGCACCTCGGGATTAGCACGGTCGGGCTACGTACGGTGCGAAAGAAGTTCGACATACAAACACACGTACATAAATAGGAACCACGAAAGTTATGCCACCTCAGCTGGCACCGATCAGTGACATATTTGGTGTGGGCTCACGGACTTTTGTGTTGACCCGAGACCCTCTAAGATAAACCCCAACAGGCGTGTTGGTCTTGTTGGGGGGGGGGGGGGGGGGTGCATGCATGTTACCGTGTGTTGAACCTCTTTCGCACCGCACGTAGTCCAACCGTGCTAAACCGCGAGGTGGAAATTGAAGAGCGGGCACTTGGAGGGAAGCGTTGTGCGAGAATGGGTGCGGAGAAGGGCCCACGAAGGAGGAGACGGAGCCGATCGGGTGGCGGGGGGAGGTGGTGGGTGGGAAGATGAATGTGGTGTTTAGTAGGGGGTGGTGGAAGGTGGACATTGGCGGCAGGAGGCGTGCCCGGGGCTTTCCGTTCCCGCCGAGAGCGCAGAGAGAAAGGGGCGGAAGAGAATTATGTCTTGTGAAAAGGGCGGCCTTTTCACCTACCCAGCAAGGGGCGTGCGAGAAGCGGGGACTCACACTGGCGCGTCCGGAGAGAGCGGGAGACCCGCGGAGAGAAGACGCGGCCCAAGGAACGGCCGAGCAGGGGGTGGCGGCGGTGGAGGAGGAGGGTTAGAGGGGCAGGAGAGAGCGGGGGGGGGGGTCAGGAGGATTTGGAGTTGGAGGGGCAGGAGAGAGCGGGGGGGGGGGGGGTCAGGAGGATTTGGAGTTGGAGGGGCAGGGAGGGAGGGGGGGATGGCGGAGATGTGTGCTGAGGACCCAGGGTACAGACGCGACACTGCCACCCGAAGAGGTGAGAGGCACCGACAGCAACCACCATGACCCTTAACCACGGAACTGTCACACAACCACCACCACCACCACGGCACTGCCACACAACCACCACCACTGCATCACGCTCACTCCACGGTCATCACCGCCACATCATCATCTTCACCGCAGCCACGAGCACCACCACGAACACGGCATTGGCCACCTACCACAGGCCTATTCACCATCGCCGCAAACACAGCACACCACAACCACCACCACCATTACCGCGGTAAGACCATCGCTCCCACAATCATACATCACCACCACATTATCACCACGGCAGAGCCATCAGTGCCATCACCGCACAGTCACTTTATCGCCATCACTGCAAAGCTATCAAATCCCATCACCACCCTCATCACCACCACCACATTGGCTCACCGTCACGGCACCCACGAACAAAGTCAGGGTGTAATGAGCCGCCTCCCTCGCGATTCCCGTGTCGAAATTCCATTCAAGAATGGAGTTTGCATATATATTTTAATTTAACACGATGGCGAATGTAGCGGCCTCTAGTGGCAGGAGGGGATCACGCGCGCCTCATTACGCACAGCGTCTGTAGGATAACAGAAACAACTCGATCCGTGCACGCGTGGTTTCATGCGCGTGCGTATCGTGACCTTAATTAATCGACGACGCCTACATTTCAGATAGCCACCAGTCTCTTCACCTCCCAACAAATGCATTTGGACATCGCCGAACAATCCATGCGCTAGCAACCCGGCGACATGAGTTCAATTCCCGGACGCGGCTAATGTAAGTGCCGGGTGAAGGTGTCAACTCGCCCTACCGGTGGTGGCGTTGTTAGACCATGCCTCGCCACGGTACTGAGTGCGAGTTGGGAATTGTGAAGGGAGCGTCAGCACCACACACGGCCGCCTTTGTCTTCCAGGTGCTGATTTTTACACCCCGCAACAGGTATTCATTTGCGCCTAAGTCGACCTAAGCGAGGGCCCCAAGACCGGTTCAGAATTCACGTGAATCGTATTACGATTAACAAAATCTACCCCTCTTCGTTTCCTGGCTAGCTGCTGGCTGGGCTCCTCTCTACCCCAACGATAACGCTGTTTTTGTGAGCGACTACTGCGGGCCGTTGCCACAAAAACTAGCTGGATAACTGGCTCCACTGGATTTGTGATCCGTATAATGAATAAACATTGCATTGAGGTGAAACGGCGGGGAAATAAAATAATTGGAAGACATAAATTACAGCAACACCGAAGAGGTGAAAGTAAAGAAAACGGAAGACTGATACGGTTAATTTAAATGCTAAATTTTACATTTGTGCCCGCTATTAATATCATCACTTCGCCAGAATATTCTTTACATCCTCGAGAGTAGGAAAAAAAAACTCACATTACACATTATATTGGCATTTCATTAGATAAAAAATATTACTTTTAATCATCCGTGTACAGGATTGTGAGAAGAGTTTATGAGAATTACAGATGTATCTTATTTTCCGTAGCATTTCAACGAGTTCTATCATCGTTCACGTTTACCGTGGCCAGGAATCGAACTTAGGTGACGGGGTCACATAGCGCAGTGTGCTAACGACCGAGCCACCGCTCCCCACGCTTCTTTAACCCTCGGTGTAAAAAAATAAATTGCTGCTTCGGTAAAGCATAGAAATATAATCAACATTACTAACTTTTTTTTTACTGTCTCGGAGGAAATAAAAGTATGGACGTTTCGGTCGATTGGCCCTCTACATAAACTGCTGGACTGTGTAACCCCCACTACAACCTTTTCCAGTATATAGCATTCCATTTCTGCACGCCTCTACTTCCCGAAGAAGGATAGTCAGCCGAAACGTCTACATCTTTCGACATTCTATCTGACCGCAAATATATCCGTTAATGATTCATGTTCACATTCGTTTCAACATCGCGATATGTTTAACGGACCGATTTGCGCAGCACACGAGGTTTCTACGGGGAGGGATCCCATCAGTGGCAAGCAGATTTCAGATCACCGTTTACACGGAGACTTCTGGCCCGAGCGGGGCTATCGCATGGTCGGGATGCACGTCTACATACTGAACTAGATGTATTTCATGTATGACTATTCTACTTATTCTATATATATTTTTTATTCCAAAAGTACCCCTTAGACCACGGTACACAAGGGAAGGATGGGCGGGGTCGTACGGCGGTTCGTAATCTGGTTTGGAAAACGAATGGGAAATGGCAGCAGGGGGAGGGAGGCGATGGTGCAGGGGGTTGAAGGAGGAATGGGTGAAGAAGAGCAAAGGACGAGGTGGGTTTAGGTGCAGGGTTGGGTACAGGGGGTGGCAGCGGTGTGGAGGAAGGTGCAAGAGCGAGATGGAGCAGCAGACAGCTGGCGCGGCGCTCCCCTCAATCTCTCGGTAGTGGTAATTCTGAGGATCATTGAATGACCAGGTAATGATCACCTGGCGGAGCGGTGGCGCACTGGTTAGCGCATTTCGCTGTTTGACGCAGAGAGCTGAGGGTTCGATTTACGGCCACGGCTAACGTCAGTCACGAGTGATAATTATTGAACTTGTCCAAACGTGTCCTGTACTGTCCTCTTTCGCCAACCTGCAAATCTGCTGGACATCTGTGAAAGAGAGCTTCATAGCTCATCGGATTTCTCCAGGATAAAAGAAAAGATTCTGAAATGTGGTCAAAACACGCAAACGACACGGATTGGGTGGCAGACATTCATCCAGCGATGGATTTACAAAGGGCTGTGAATAATGTTTGACATTGCGTTTCTATATAAATAAGCAATCGTGGGAAAACAGCGTTTGTATATCACCACTGATTGTGTAAACATCCATCTGAATATGCAGCGGTGCGAATCAACGTCTAAAGTATCTTACAGTTGCACCGCTTCACATTGATTCCCGTGTTGACGCTCTTCCTTGAACCTCTTACCACTGCAGCACGGTAATTGTGGTTGGCCGTTGAAGTACCGCATACCCGCTGAGTCTGGAATGGCCTCTTTACCTGCTTCAGATTGGCAGAGCACGAACGAATGAATAGTGACGTAGACCACATGCTAATTGCAGCCAAGGTATGTGACGCAGAGCACGCATTCGTGTTGAACTTCTTTCGCACCGTACGCAGACGACCGTGCTAACCGGAGGTGCGATTAGCACGGTTGGGTTTGTGGCGGTACACAACAATGATCCATGCATACACAGTCCACGCGATGTGTTATGAAGAAGGAGGGCCATTGCCTGAAACGTCGCCTCCGCATATAATTTTCCTCCTCAGGCCACAGTGCTATCGACGAATGTGTTGAGTTATTTTTGTTGTTGTTGCTGCTGTCGCTGTTGTTAATCCACGCGTACTGCTTCATCGGAGTTTGTTTGACCTTTGATCAGGTTCAAGGGATTCCCGCAGATAAGTTCAACCCCCTCCGTGCGCACCCCTCCCCCACTCCCCTCCCCCACTGCCACCCCGGCCCAAGACCTCCACAATCGCGGCGGTCAAGCCGAACGGGAGGATGAAGAAGAGGATGGAGCGAACGAGCTGTCACCGGGCAGCGAAGAAGGCCCGCTGTGGACTGAGGATCCCACCCACCCCCACCCCCAAAAAAATGCTTCACACATAATCAGACTCGTTATTTAGACTGGAGGAACGCGATGATTTGCCTGCTTCCGATAAGGAAGCCAAAAAGCTCAGTGGGCTTTACCTGGTAAAATAAAATAGTTTCGTTTAATGTGTATATATTTTTTAGTGATTTGCTTACCTTTCCTATACATTGCACTCCTATCGTGTTTTTGTACTGTTTGTTGGTGTAACGTTCTGACCCGACCCTCCTAAACAGCTGTGAAAAAGAGGTTCATAGACACGTCATATTCATCAAGTATGAATACATCTTCTGATTATGATTTCTGTTCTGTACCGTGTGTACGGTGTATCTCGTTTGTTCTGTATCGCATGCACTGTGTTTGCGCGTTCACAGAAGTAACTTAACCTACACAGTAGATTGCATTAAAACGAGGCGAGCCAAAATTCACGTCTAAAATTCCACATTCCCATGGCAGGGGACAAGTTTATCCATAAGGACTCCCTCCACTGTTGACTCCCCCACGTTGTGGCTGTGTCTTCTGACGACTCATGGTGATCGTGATGATGGTGATGATCGATCGAGATGGAAACAAGGGTAAGCCGAGGCTATCCTGATGACGGTAATTATGATGATGATGGTGAAAATGATGACACTCGTGATGGTTATGAAGACGTGAGTGGTGTTTACTGTTGCCGCATAATGTAGTCCGCGGTATTTTTACCCCAAGTCGTGCCCTTCATCGCGATTGGTGTGTCTCTCCGCGGTATATCTCGTCCCCTTTTCGATGTTAATAGCATTTGAAACTCGTACAAATTGAACTTAAAATGGCAATTAGTGGCGCGGGGGAGGAGAGTAAAGATGAAAGAGATAAAAAAGAGATGTTGACAGAGAGTAGGACGCCGAGATGTGTGCGGCGCAGTGAAGGAGGGGAAGGAGGAGAGAGAAATTCCAGACGCCTGGCGCGAGAGACGTCTGTGAAGAAGAGCTTTCTGTAACACGTCGGTTTTCGCGACCAATATCATACATATATTGAGAAACGAAGCAGGTGGACTTCACCACAAATCTGGTTGTCGCCTGATGAAGCTAGTTGTAATTACTGGCGAAACGTCGTACTCAGATTGTAAATGTTGTGGCTTGGCTCTCCAACACACCTGTGATGCTGTACTAGTCACGAATTGGCCACGTTCTGTTTACGTGACAACCCTTACTAGTTGGCTGTGTCGGGTGGTGGCGGGTTTAACGACACATTTATATATTTACGCGATCTAACCCCCAAAAAAACGAATATGGAAGAGCTTTGTAGCTCATCGGATTCATCCAGTATACATATTTTGATTGATTCTGAGATCGGACGGTTGCGAGATTGAACAACGCACGATGAGACGACCGCAGGCTGAATATGCCGGTCGACCCCTTGCGTGTGTGCATGACACTTTGTACGTGATGCCTTGTGGAACTTCAAGCCGATGAAGTTGATTTCGAAGCTCTGGAGGGATCGCTTAGGGTTCACAATTGTTCAACCTTTGAGATGCATTTCACATGACGGTATATTTTATTATGATTACGTTTGTAACAAAGTTATGATGCAGATGGTAATATTGAAACGGTGATTACAATTACAACGGGGATGATGTTGAAGATAATAACAGATCATAGACGCAACTAACGATATGTTAAGAAGAAAGAAAGAAGAATGATGATGGCGATCATATTATTGAAAACAATGTTTATCATGGTGATGACGGGAACATTCGCGACAATGGAGGCATGAGTTGACCCCCAAGCTGGGATTTGACCCCACGACCTTCAGATTATGAGCAGGGGTGCGCGAACCACAGTGCCTCTTAGTAGGGCCATAGAAGCCAATACAAATACAATGCGCGTGAATTAGGGTCGGGGTTAGGGTCAGGGTTAGTCATGGGTAAAGTAGCCAGTAATTGGATGGCGGCGGTACGCCCAGGTTTAAAGGTCAATTATCGAAATGTGTCTTCAAACATTAACGTTCCATTAGTCTGTGTGTGTCTTGGAGGAAAGTTGCATTTACAACAAGCCCACATGCCAGTCCGTTAACTGAGCCTCTGTTAACAAAATAAATACGCAGTGCGAAAACCACTTCACTACCGCACACGTGAACAAAAAAAAACAGGCAAAGCTCCCTCGTATAACCCTAATAGCCTTATGAGGGCGGGAACAAGTGTTGTTAGCGAGCAGCAGCAGCAGCAGCACCAATGAAGGCCGGGCCGTCACACCAGGGGGTGGGTGGTCAGCAACACGCGTACGGGCGATCTAACACGCACGCGCATGTGTTCTAAACAACTTCTAAAAAACATTTACTTTCATTGGCAATTTTGTTTTCAAATTACCCACGGCTGTAAATTGGTGTTGGTGAGCTGTGTGGTGAGATTCGTAGCGACTCGTTGCAGATGATTGTGTAGCTTTGCGTTGAATAACTCGAGAGGTGCCTTAAAAAGACGGCACGTAACGATTATTGGGCAACATACGTACCTGCGTTACATTCTATGAAACTACAGTAACTGTCTGTTCATAAACAAAACGGATACATCTTCTAGGAATAAAACTAAATTAAAACCCAGACATTTTCAGAGCGCTTTGAAGTTTACTCTCACGCGACCGGCTTCCACTTCCACACAAACACAGCAGACTTGTTCAACAGTCCACTGAAGATTAAAAAACACACGAGGTGCAATAACGTTCACGAGTCCTACAGGATCGCATTGATTATGTATGTATGTTTGACTTCTTTCGCACCGTACGTAGCCAATCGTGCTTGTGAACACATCCAACTTTACGGCCCAAAAACGAGCAGATCACGCGGTGGTTCTGCTCGACTTGGGGACGTGGAGTGCACCGTGGTTCATGAAAGACACGGAAACATTTGACGCACGTGCATATCTCGCTACTCGCTAAAAACAATACAATTATGTATTTACTGGTCGTAGCAATAATAATAATAATGCATTTACTGGTCGTAGTAATAATAATAATTATCTCGTTATTTACAGGTCGTAGTAATAATAATAATGTCGTCATTTATTGGTCGTAGTAATAATAAGTATGCATTTACTAGTCGTAGTAATAATAATAATAATGTCGTTATTTACCAATGGAAGCTTCCCCGAGCCTCGAGGCTGTCTTTCAGGAGGGTGCTACTCTGGGATGTTTGGCCAGGAAGGAACAGGAGTGCCCTCAGAAAACACACCACAGGAGGAGGTTCGGGGGGGGGGGGGGGTGGAGATAATTTAAAGCTTCGCACAAACGGGTTCACGAACCCAGTTGCTGTGCTGCCATCTCCTGACCACCTCGCAGCCTGCTGCTTGACAGTTTTTAGGTTAAACAAGAACACTCTATCGTTGCCATCAAGTGCGCGATGTTGCTATCTAGTTACCTTCACGTTGCAAAGGTTAAAGGTGCACGATAGATGGAGCTCGAAAGAGGCCCACTAACGAGGGTACCTTTGCCTACTCTTCCCTTCCATGCTGGCCGGATGGCTTGGAAGGAGATTGAAGTGCTCATGGGCTACCCCACCCACATGCGATCTGCGGACCGAGCAACGTCGCTGCCTCCCCATGGAAGAGCATTTCATCATAGATTTGAAGTTTTCGTGACTGCAAGGATCCATACTCTTCACCTACGTGACTTTACCGAAAGAACCAAAGAGTAAGGAGCATTTAATAAACGTAGAGTCATTGTTTCCACTGGCGCGCTGGGAAGTCGAACTGGTGGCATCTGGATTACAAGTTCAGCATACACTACTTGTGTAATTGCTCTCTCTCTATCTACATATATGAATATATACACGGCGACTCTGGTGAGATTTTAATCAGCTCAAAACGAAATCTTCTCATCAGTACAAAGCGCTTCGCTAACGCGGCGTGCCCTTAAATGCGTTTTACGTAACGCCGATTGTTTAAGCGACCGTAAAATGACCTCCCCCCCCCCACCGCCTTGACAAAAGAAAGCAAAGTTCCTCCAGGCTTAAACTTTCCAGAAACGACCTCTCCGCAAATCCTCTGCCAATTTAGCCGGGCTGGCCAGAACAAATAAACAGCAACAGCAGCAGCAGCAGCGCAACCACGAGTCCCTCGTGCGCGCTCGCAGCATTCTCCTCCACTGCAATGAACCTCGGAGCGGTCTCTGCCGCAGCCTTTTACGCATAACCCGCGTGACTTGGACGCATCTGGACACCCCCCCCGCCACCCACCCCCCCCCCCCTCCCTTGGGCAGCAACAACGAGAGTCTCAAGTCTCTGTGACCGACCGTCGCCTCCTCCTGCTCGTGTCGTGAACCGTGCACTACAGGCGCTATTGAACGTTGCAAGCAGAGCCTCGAGTAAATTTTAAAGGGTACCTACCGTATTTCCGAGACCAAAGGTTATTTCTTCATAAGAGGTGTTTTTTATATTTGGGTTAGATCCCGTAAATATAAAGTGTCGTTAACCCGTCCGACGCAGCCACTTGGTAAGGTTTGTCACGTAAACAAAACGTGCCAATTGGTTACTACTTCAGCACACCGTTGTGTTGGAAAGTAAATCCACAACATTTACAATTCGAGTCCGACGAGGATTCGCTCGTGATTACAGCAACCAGCTTCATCGGGTGATTTGCAAGAATTGTGAAGAAGTCTTCCTGTTTCGGTCGTAGATATTTCTTCAGTTTGCCCGTAGAATAAACCCAGGGTCTTTAAAGTTTACACGAACCTCAGTCGTGTGTCGTGATCGAGCAGTGGTTAGCGCGAACTGCGCTACTAACCCGGTTCGATTTTCGGCCGTGGTTATCATCAGTGGCTTAGTGCCTGCACTCTGAACCCGGCTACCTGGGTGAACATTGGCGAATTATATCTGGACCGGTCCCGGGCCATCCTTCATCAACCCGCACGAACCGGCGTGGTGAAGTTTGGTCAAACAACCTCCATGACAGACGCGACGTGGGGGGGGGGGGGGGCTTCATCTAGCAGCGGATTGAGATAAGACTCTGAATGCTGTCGTTATTATTTAAAAAAGACATGTTCAGTATTGTAGGTTGCCTTGAGATGCGTGGTGTACAAGCGCTTGAGTGTATTTTCCATTCACATGAAGACGCCTGTATGACGATCGATACATTAATATCTACATTCTCAGGCACACCAGGCATC